GGAGGAGGAGGAGGGGGGGAGCGCCGCCGAGGAGCAGGGGCGGGGCGGCCGTTAATCAGCCCTTGGCGGCGGCCCTTGGCGGACTCGGAGCCCTCGACTCCGCCCCGCCCCTACGGGGAGGGGGAAAAAAAGGAAAAAGACTTGGGGGCTCTCTCTGGCGCCGCCGAGAACGGGAAAGCGCGTCACTTGTGAGGAGAACCACGACGAGAAGGTGGTGGTGGCGACGGCGGCGGTGGTTCTTCTCCGCGCACGCGCACCAGGACAGCACACAGAAATTTCCTTTTTTCATATATATATATATATATATATATACGCTTGTGGTGGGTGTTAAGGAGCCGGATGGGCGGGCGCGCGCACACATATCCGAAAAGAACGTTGGTTTGAAAAAAAGAAAGAAAAAGGCTCGTGCCGCTATACCTCGGATATAGTACTACTCGCTACTACGCGCGAGACGGCGCCTGTTGATACGCGCCTGCGCGAGGGCGCGCGAAGGAATGAACATTTCCCCCACCACCACCACGTTCCTCTCCCTCCCCCCCCCCGCAACGTCCTCGCGCGCGCCTCCCTCCCTTCCCCATTTTTATTTATTTATTTATTTAGAAACTCCTCCGTTAACACACATACACCAAAAAAAAACTTCAACCAATCTTGCGTTTAAGGCGGGACCGCGTCACGTGTTGCCAAGCTCCTGAAAAAAAAGGGAGGAGGGAGGGAGGGAGGAAAAAGGAAAGAGTCCTAATCGTAGATCGTTTTTGGTTTTTTACTATTAAAGCGCATGCGCTCAATAAAGTCTGTTGGCTTGGCTTTTTTTTTTAAGACGGGGGGCGCGCGCCTGCCTGCTTGCCTGCCCGCCCGCGCGCCTCCAACGGTCTCGCGCCCTTCCTCCTCTTGGAGGTGTCGGAGGAAAGGAATGGGAGGGGCGGGGCCGAAGCTCGCGCACGAGCGCCTGCGCAGTAGGTAGGGAGAAAGGCACGTTCAAGGGGGGGGGAGAGGGGGGTTTGCCTGGCGGAGGAGTCAGTCGGTTCTGTTCCTGGAAGGAAGGAGGGAAGGTGCTCTCGGCTCGCCTTCGGTCTTCCCTTCCGCTTCTGAGGGGAAGCCCCGACGAGTACCGCCGCCCGCCACGCGTTTCCCCGTCTTGGGCTCCCTTCCTCGCCTCACAACTCGACCCAGGCCCGCTCTCTCTTCCCTTCCGTTTGCTTAACGCTCTGAGGAGGAAGGGAGGGCGAGGAAAGCCGCGGCTGCCAAGGCGAGGAGGAGGCTTCGGCTGCCATTCTGGAGTGAACCCCGCCGAATACATCGAACGGAACTTCCTTGGGAGTAAAGGGGATTCCTCAGCTCCTTGTGGTTCCCTCCTACGACACAAGCGCATCAGGGCAGGCAGATGTAGAAACCAGGAGCCAGATTTATGCCTTCGTTCACACGAAGCCTGATTATGCACTGTGGAATGAGTGCACTTTGACACCACTTTACCGCCATGGGATCGTGGAGGGTTGTAGTTTTGGCAAGGCCTTGGCCCCGCCAAACAGTGTCGGCGCCTCACCGAACTACAACTCCCACGATTCCATAGCAGTGAACCCCGGCAGTTTAAAGTGGTATCAAGTTGAGTTATTGTGTATTTTTCTGGCTATGTGGCCATGTTCCAGAAGCATTCTCTCCTGACCTTTCGCCTGCATCTATGGCAGGTATCCTCACAGGTTGTCTTTAAATATTTATTTATTTATTTTCGGGGACTCAGGGCGGCTTACAAACAGGCACAATTCGATACCTACACAATAATACAATAAACGTATAAAAACAGCAGTTAAACGGTTAAACAATTAAAACAACAATATATATCACAGTCAATAGCCAATCTCAAGCACAGCATTCACCAACTCAGATTCCATACTTCGTTCCACATTGTCTATTCCTATCCGTCGTCGCAGTCCTTTATTTATCTGCCAGAGTGCCCAAACGCCTGATCCCACATCCATGTTTTTAATTTCTTTCTAAAGGAAAGGAGGGATGTCGCTGATCTAATTTCCTCGGGGAGTGAATTCCATAAGTGAGGGGCCACCACTGAGAAGACCCTGCTCCTCGTCCCCGCCAATCTCACTTGTGACAGAGGCGGGGCCGAGAACAGGGCCTCCCCAGAGGATCTCAAACTCCGAGGTGGGACATAGAGGGAGATGCGTTCGGACAGATACGCTGGGCCGGAACCGTATAGGGTTTTGTAGGTCAAAACCAGCACTTTGAATTGTGCTCGGAACTGGATCGGCAGCCAGTGGAGCTGACACAACAGGGGGGTGGTATGCTCCCTGTATGATGCTCCAGTGAGCAATCTGGCTGCCTCCTGCTGGACTAATTGAAGTTTCCGAACAGTCTTCAAAGGCAACCCCACGTAGAGTGCATTGCCACTTATGGACTCTCGCTTGCTGGGGTGTTCCAGCAAGTGTCTCTGTAGATCTTAGAAAACTATTTCTTGATTTAAGTCGTTGACATCCTGCATATCAGATACTTACATTACGATTCATAACAATAGCAAAATTACAGTTATGAAGTAGCAACGAAAATAATGTTATGGTTGGGGGTCACCACAACATGAGGAAATGTATGAAGGGGTTGTGGCATTATGAAGGTTGAGAAACACTGTCATACAGGGACATGAGAGAAGCCTCTCATAAGGATGGTAAAACATCAAAACATCCAGGCGCACCCTGGGCAACGTCCCTGCAGACGGCCAATTCTCTCACACCAGAAGCGATCTTGCAGTTTCTCAAGTTATTATGGGAGTTGTAGTTCACCAACACTCTGTACCAAACTCTGTACCAAACTGGTGATGGAACTAGTAAACTTGCAACACATACCCAACATGCCAAACTTTGAATATTGGTGGGTTTTCGAGGAGACCAGCATCGTATTAGTGGTGTTGATGAAATATATCATTGTAGGGTAGACTATGGTGGCAGTGACCTGATTCAGACAGGGAAATCCTGCTCTAGTTTGGCTGTTATGACATGAATTCACTCACTGCTTCCTCCCTTTATGCTCTCAAATGATCTCCTTTCCTTGGAGGTACATCTTAATTATAGTCTAGTGTTACATTAGGTTCAGCCAAGTTATGATTTACGGAAATAATGTCCACAGCAAATTTCTAGTTTTATGGGTGCACCATAGTTTAGCCCTT